TTCCTGCTGGATTTAACAACATTTTTGTTGACTTTTTTGGTATCAATTTTGGATTGACACTTTATGTCCAAAACTGAATAAAAATGAAATAAAATATAAACCAGTTTATGAAATATAAACTATATTCCATGAACTTATTTATAATCAGTTTCATTAGCTCTACTATGAGCTATCCTCTCTTACTTTGTACATCAGGCTCTAAAATCTAAATTTACTCATTATTTTTTACTGTATGTTTGACTCGTGGCAAATCTAGATAAAAAGTACATGCATGTCAGTAATGGAGTGGCAAAGCCAGCATTCATCGGCATCCGTGCCAGATCCAAGCGGATAATCTGCGACTGTACATCTTGATCTCGTAATCTATGGCGAGTCAACATCTAAACGCTTGTGGCAAACATGGCGACGGTGGCAGGCTGGCTCATTACGCACACAGAGCTGTATGTCGTCGTCTTGCCTCTCGGGCTCATGTCGTATCGGTAACAGCTGGGACGAGCCAGCTGGGACGCGAGGTTTCGAGACGTGGCTTGGAACGCTTGGCGGACGACCGGCACGTTTGTACTTAACCAGCGTTAGGACTTCAGATGTCCTTGTGCCGCAGGCCTTCCTCATTCACCCCAGCATGGGATGTACGGAAGACTTCAGCGAAAGTGTCAAGCCGGGCTAAAGAGAAACTTGTGCGATCATGGCGAAAGGCCACAAGGTCTTATCAGAGTAGGAACAGAGCACATCAAGCGGTGGTGGGCTAGCATAGATTTAGCCTGCCTGTGATGTGGACCAGCTGCGCTCCAGCGCTTAATTATTTCCCTTTAATGAGGTTCCCCACCTTCCAACAGGCTGGCGGGACTGCGACAGGCTTCAGAGAGACCCCCCGCCTCCCAAATTCTCCCACTATCTCTGCTGAGCTCCATAACGGGCAATGAAGGCATTAGTGCATGGAACAGGAAATGAGGAAAATAATTCTTCTAACGTACAGTATATTCACATGCAGTATTTCACACTTGAATACTCTGGAAATACCGTGGTATTTTGATATTTACCATAGGACCGAATGATTACAGTATTCATTTACCATGGTCTTTATTAGCAGTGTGGTTCAGTAAATAATGTTTAGAGGCTAATACCGATAACCAATAATCACTATGATTGATCTGTTTGTCTGTAGTTGTCAAATATATTCAATTTTTGCTACATGTTTACATGCTTTAAGGCATATGCTGAAGCATAATTCACTATATTGTAAAAATTATGTAACCTAAATAACCATTTTGTGAAATGCCATCATGTATTGATATACACTGCCGTTCAATAGTTTGGGATCAGAAAGATTTTGAATGTTTTTTTAATGGAGTCTCTTGTGCTCATCAAGGCTGTATTTATTTGATAAAAAATACAGAAAAAAACTAATATTGTGAGATATTTTTTCAGTTTCTAATATTGGTTTTCTGTTTTAATATACTTTAAAATATAAAAAAAATTTCGGTGATCAAAGCTGAATTTTCAGCATCATTACTCCAGTCTTCAGTGTCACATGATCCTTCAGAAATCATTTTAATATGCTTATTTATTATAAGTGTTGGAAACAGTTGTGCTGCTTCATTTATAGATAAAGATACTGGCTATTTTTCAAACTGTATATTATAATGATGTGATGCCTAAACTGAATTAGTTTTAAGGGCAAAATAGTATAGTATATAGTATACTATATAGTATAATCTGTCATTTATTGCTTGTGATCATATTTTTAACATGGTGCGTCCCTAAAAACAGTTTTTTTTTTGTTTTCTGTCAAAGAACATATTAGTACAAATCGTAATATTACCATAATACATTTTCAATATGTCTTGGTGATACTGTGGTACTTTTTGTAACACTTTACAATAAGGTCCTGTTAGGTAATGTTAGTTAATGCATTAATTAACATTAACTAACAATGAGCAATACATTAGTTATAGAATTTTTTAATTTTTTATCTTTAGGTTATTTAATAAAAATACAACTAGGCCTATTGATTGTTAGTTCATGTCAGCTCAGGTCCATTAATTAATATTAAAGGTGGGGTAAGCGATTTTTCAAAAACGCTTTAGAAAACTGATTCGGGCTGACTAGAAAAACAAACTTGTAGCCAATCAGCAGTAAGGGGCGTGTCTACTCATGATGTGGAGGAGAGAGCATTCAGTGGACAGGATGGACATTTGCCGAGCCAAGCGACGACAGAAAGATAGAGATGGCGGATAAAAAACAAAAGAGGAAAACGTCTGCGGAACAAAAGAAGGCTTAAGGCAAGGATATCAAAATAGGGGCAAGACCCTTTTGGGGGTAGGGGCGTGTTTGTTTTGGTGATTTCAAATGTCAACACTGGCTACCAGAAATCGCTTACCCCACCTTTAACAGATAGAACTTTAGAATTTAGATTAGCCTAGTAAATGCTTTAGAACTATTTTTCATTGTTAGTTCATGTTAGCTAATGTTACCTCATTGTAAATTGTTATCTTTTTAAATTCTCATTTGCTCTTGCTGAAGTCTCTGTCATGCGTTGTTGTGATATTTAGCAAATGTCTGGGAATCGTGGTAGTGAGATGTTTATTCAGTCGCAGGGGAATTTCCATACAAGCAGACTGGCGTGTTAGTGTGTCACAGATACGCAGCTGATATCTGCAGTGAGAAACAGCTGAATAGGTCATTTTAAAGTTCAGTCAGCACTGTACTGCTTTCAGCCCACAAAGACCATGCTGAAGATCATCTACCAACCAGCTTTTATTTAGCACAGGTCACGAAACATGCTGCACTACAGAAACACCTTTATGTTGTGTTCAGAGCGTTGCAGACACTGTCTGATTGCAGTCAAAATCACACATGATGTCTCTTTAATGTCTCTGTTCCCAGATAGAGAACAAATGGTGGTCTCCTGCTTCTAAGATGTTTCTCCTGAGAGTGTCTTCTCTAGAATTTCAGAAGAGATTGTCTCAAAAATGTCTCAAACCAAAGATACCAAAGTCTACAACCCAAAAGTCAGAGATTTCAACATGAACTTAAACATTTCTCATCAAATTCTCTCAAGACCAAATAATCCACACTCTTAAAAAATAAAGATTCCAAATGCCATAGAAGAACTATTTTTGGCTCTTCAAATAACTTTTCTATGAACAGTTCTTAAAAGAACCATTGTGAAGAACATTTTAATCATCTAAAGAACCTTTTTTTGCTGTAAAGAGCCTTTTGTACAATGGAAGTTTCCGTTGAACTTTTACGTTTCTTCATGGAACTAAACTTCATGGATCAAAGCTAATAAAGAACCTTTACTTTTAGGTGTGTGTACGAAGATCATTTTGTGCAATAGAAAGATTCTATGGAAGTTAAAGGTTCTTCATGGAACCATCAATGCAAATAAAGAACCTTTGTTCTTAAGAGTGTGGGCTATGCTATACATATTCATTTTAAAGCTGGACTCTTTCAGTAATTCTCATTAGTGTATTGAATTTTAGGAGAAACATCTGAGCTTTGCAAACAATTCACGTAAATATTTTCAGCGTGGCACAGATTCTCAGTCCCTGCCTCACTGTAAAGAGCTCTGCTTATGTGTGCTGTGACACAGCCGAACAGGATGCTGGTGGGAAGATAAAGCAGATAGCACTCAAGCTCCGAGGGATAAATCTCCTTCAGTCGCAGGTCGGCCCCAAAAAGCTCTCAACATCACCCAGAAAACCCGCCGGAAGTCTGCTCTTGAGATCCTCGTGACAAGAGCCCCCTAGCACTCGAGAGACGAGAGTCATGACCAGGCAGTCTATTATAATAACTGTTTGATTAATCATTGTCCTAAAAAAGCACACAAAATCTAACTGATTAGATAGCAGCGCTCGGGGAACTCGCGGGGCTAGCTGTGCTATCCCGTGACACGGTTAATTAACTCCGAGCTCAGCACGCCACTAACAAGAGGCCTCGGCCCCCTTCCTGGAAAAACAGAAATAGAGCCCACGCTGCCAGCCGGTAAGCCTGTAACATCTCAACGAGGTTTTATCAAAGAGCGAAAGACGCTCTTTCAAGAGGAGTTAGCATCCCAGCGGTTTGACACGCTCCATCTGATCGCCATCAGCTCTGAGAACAGGTGCTGGAGTCTGTATCAAATACTGCACTCACTCGATAGAAGAGGCAGGAAAACGTGCTATGATCCTCAAATCATGGTTTTTATGAAACAGAAACTCGGTGATCAGATATGCAGTGAATTCTGTACTAATGTAGTTAAATACCTACAATATTACTGTTATGGTAATGAGCTACATTATTTGGCAGAAAAGTTGTTGATGTGATTGTTATTCATAAATGTAGTGAGAATGTGAGATTTGTATTTTTTTGTTTTTTATGCAAATGTCCTGCTGCTAGTGTTTTGGATGGCTTCTAAGTTGTTGCTTACTTGTTTACATTAGAAGAAGAGCCAAGAACCAAAAGAACCCAAGTTTCTTTTATATTTTAGTCTGTAGATATGGCTATGTGAATTATTAATGTATTTATTTCCAATTTCGTATTTATTTATTTGTTGGTTTTTTAAATTAGATTTTTTTTTTAATAGACAGAATGTGTTTCTTGCTGCATAGACTCATCACAAATAATATAGGCATCAAAAATTACGGAAATTTTTGAGCAATTTTGATGCTGTTGTTTTCTCAAATTATATATATTAATGTATTTACAGTCAGCTCGAAGCATTTATTGTGTGACACTGACTGACTGCCCTGTTCTGTCTCACAGGAGAGCTGGACCTGTTCAACAAAGATGGAGAACGACGGATTCACAGCCGCCAGCAGCTTCCTGTAGGAACCACATGGGGGCCTTTCGAGGGAAAAATTGAGCTAAACACAGATGCTCAGGTATGTTATCGCAAGTTAAATGTTGATGAGGGTTATGGATGAAGGATGCAATTTATTACTTAAAGAAAATTACACCAAATTAAATTAAATGGTTTGTTAAAACAGAAGGATCTGTCATTGGCTGAACGAATGGCATTGGTTTGGGAAGATTGTAGAAACTTTTTTGGAAACTAGCACAGAAATTACACTCTTCACCTTTAGCAGATTCTCAGTGTTTGTTAATCAGTACATGAACCTGTTTGTTGTAAAGGGTGAAGCTTATTTTCCTTGAAGTCCATCATTTGCATATTAACATATGAAAAATTTTACTGAACATAAACAGATGTTAATTGTGTTACATATAGATCATAACCCAGAGCTACTTACATTCCAGCATCTTACTGACCTCAAGATGACCTCCTTTGTACTTTTAACCATTTCATCTGCACATTTTATTACTAAACTCTTGACTGATATTACATCTACTAGATTTGATGTTGCTATCGCTGATTCTTCCAGTTAGGCTCAAGCTGTCATTACGATCCTTCAGCCATTAAAGAAAGAGCAAAAAAGAGGAAAGTGTTGACCTAACTACACAGGCGGAAAGAGGAATCCTTTAGGATTTAACATTCCATTTTGAATGTGGATTAATTAAGCAATAGTTATTAAAAATGGTAACGAATCTCATATTTATCCTGTTAAGAAATGCAAGGAAAAGTCTGCGAGGAGTTTAGACTCTAAGGCCCCATTCTGTGGTATTACTCTAACTTATAACTTTATTAATTTTTTTCTCATACTTTTGAGCTGTTTTTCTTTTTTGTCTGTACTGCCCCTTGAAAGTGCACACAAATTGAAATATATTTTTGTTTAATTTAATCAAATATTGCCTATATTTATAGCGATAGTACAACTGAAGAGGAAAATTCAGTTGTAAAGATTTTTTACATTTCTCATTTTGTGTTTCGCTGTAAAAAGGTTTGGAATTGCATACAGTAAGTGTGAGTAAATAATGATTAATTTTCAATGTTGGGTACATTATTGCTTTAAAATCAAAGAGAACAAAACATTGTAAGCAATGATTTATAAAACCAAACACTGTGTGATATTTCACGGGTTTAATACATGTAATGTCAGAGAGGAGCATGAAAAACCGTAGTTGAATTAGGTGTGATGTCTTTGGAAAGAAAGCTCTATCTTCATGAATGTTGACCCTTTAGAGGTGGTTAAACACTGTTGAATTTCCAATTCACCCGTGTCACCCTCTTAAGTGTCTGATCTGAGAAGGGCAGAATCTGCTGATATAAGATGTATGATATGGACTGAATCTAAAGTGGTGTCTTTTTGACCGCTGGTTTATTGATTTGAATGTAATTGGCTAAACTGAAGAATGACGTCTACAAATGTCAAAGTTAGTAGACTGAATGTAGTCAGCATGCTGAGGCAGGTCGGCATTGGTTCAGATGATCGGATGGGTCAGTCACACTATATTTTAGTGCTGCTTGTTATCCACTATGATTGGAAAACTTTCTTAAGTTATTATCATTAATTATTCTTCATCTCAAATTAAATATGGTGTCTTTCCTAACCAAGGTCAGCTGGTCAAAAATATGCGTGGGTGGTATGCCGATATTTATTGTGACAACTAAATGTATCCATGCAGTGCAGGACTGCTTAAAGGTATTGATGTGTTAGAGTGATTAAAAAAAACATGCATGAATGAGAAAATAAAGTGTGTATCATGCTTGATGTTAAAAAGAGATAAAAACTTAATGCGCTGTCTGAAAGTCCCCCAAACCCAGAATTTAGTTCTGTTTTGCTGAATATTGTGATTGAATGGTTAATTACAGAAAGAAAGAAAAATGTCTTGATGAATATTCATGTAAACACAGTCAGTAATGTCTTAAAGGGATAGTCTATCCAAAAATGAATAAAGCTGCTAAACAAACAGTTTCGGTTCCCATTGACTTGCATTGTATTTTTTGTAGATACAGTGGAAGTCAATGGGAAAGAAACGGTTTAGTTACTAACATTCTTCAAAATATATTCTTTTGCATTTCACGGAAGAAATGAAGTCAGACAGGTTTGGACTAATATGAGGTTGAGTAAATGATGACAGAACTTTTATTTTTGGGTCGACTATCCCTTTAAGTGAACAGAAACTGATGGGAAAGAAACCAGATCTGTGTCAGTATATTGGATCCACGCATTAGGTCTTAAAGTGATGGCAGCCTAATCTATATACCGATATATATTCTTATCATGAAATCATATTGTCAAATAAGATTTTGGTCATATTGCTAACTCCCAGTTAATAAACTTTTGTGCAATAGAAAGGTTTCACATTAGATAGTAATGGAAACATTGATGCCAATATTTTTTAAGATCGTGCATATGAATGAAAGGAAATAGAAATGAAAGATCTAGTGTGTCAGTCTCTTGTATATGTTGAAGTAGGACAGGCATTTGGGGGGCATCCAGCATTTAGAACTGATTGATGTCGCCCTCCTGGGGTGAGCAGGTGAGAGAGATCTTGGCATCTGCAGGGCAGAGATAGGGTCACATGATGAGGGCTTATCGGTGCAGAGGGCGCATCGCACATCTGATGTACAGAAACCAGAGGGCTTCTGGGAGTTTACGATGCTACGCTCTGCCGTGTTTACACATGAAACTCCTCAGATGCCCCAGTCTGGATGCCATCCATCTTCGTTCCATTCAAACGATTCACCCAAATGATTCACGACTCAGTGAGTCGTCTCTCTCTATGATCGTAGTTATTGATTTAACACTCTGGAGCGGATCTTCAAAAGCTGTTTGAACAGTCTTTTTATATCATATTTCCTACACCAGGTCAGAAATAATTGACGAGTTGAAATGATTGAAGAGGTCAATAAAATTGCGAGACAGGCTGCTTTAACGGAGTCATTCTTTAAAATGTGACCAAAATGACTTGCAAATTGATTGAAGATACGTTGTGGTGTCAGTGTCCGATGGATGTTTGAACTGCTGTGTCTACAGAGCGCTTCCTCTCAGCGTCTGAGTGATAGTTGCCAGAGCTCTCTCCTCTCCTGCCGATCAATCAGGCCATTAGAGCTCAATTACCCAGCAGCCCATGCGCAGGTGAGCGACGAGCCCGTCCACCCCCACCAAATTAACACAAATTAATAATGACACTCACACATAAATGTCTGCCATCTGGGGGCCGGGCGGCCGGTGTGGGTCGAAGCTATTGAGTAGCAGGTGTCTTCATCACAGTAATTACTGGGCCTGGACTCAACCCTGACTGCGGCCTGTGGCTCTGCGCCTCTCTCGCTGCCCAGTGTCCATTTTAAGTGTTAATAATTGATTTGGAAACAACCTAATAATGAACTGCAGATTTACAGGCCCCTTCTAAGATGGCAGTTAGTTAAGTATGGCTTTTAGTTCAATGTTCATCTAATGAATGAGCATTTCTCTAATTAAAAAGCTTTGTTAAGAAGCAGTGATAAACCAGCAGGATCTTTGTCCTCTATTTTTTTCTACCTATTCTAAATTTACTGACAGCCTTGTCGATGGATGACTTTTATGATTTTGAGTGACTTCTGAGTAAATATCAGGATTGTGCAAAATTCATAATTTAAGAATTAGTTCCCTTTAAATGAATGAATGAATTTAAATTGAATTGGCCACATCCAACAAGAAGTTGAATTGGAATATTTAAAGTGGAATGAACATGAGAAATGAAGTGTTCTTTTATTTATTTGCAGCTTGTATAATATGTAAAAAAATATATACCTACTGTATTGCAGTTAAATGAATTTATTTTCGTGTCAGCTCATTTTAATTCTACAATTTGCTGCTACCTCAATTGAAATGAAATTGGAAAGGCATTCACAATTCATTTCTGAATGTTGCATAACCCTGGTAAATATTGTGTGAAGAGTTTGTAGATTTAGGCAGTTTTGTGTCTCGTTTGCCATAATCGTTACACTCTGTTTTGTATATTGAAAAAAAAAAAACATGAGTTGACCATTAGTTAATATGTTCAGGGACACCCACAGGAAAGAACATTCTCAAATAAAAGTATTTTTATCTCATTTGTTTCTCCCAGAAGTGAGACTAAATTGATTGCAAATGCTCTGAGAAAAAGACCATAGACTTTCAGAATATATCTTACACTGCTCAGATTCCAAGTCTGTTTTTATTCTTCCCAAGGAATTGTAGGAGAAACATCTGAAATTAAGAGAACTCTGGAGTCTCTTGAGCTATGAAAGAGCATCCTCTGAGCAATCCAGATTCCTCCGTGGAGGTTTCATGAGCCAGCATGATTGTTAAACCAGCAGTCAAACTCTTTTGGTGCATGTAGCTTGTGTTTGTATTTGTGGAGTGTCCACGGCGGCAGAAATGACGTGCTATTGTCTTCATTTGCACCCATCAGAGGGTGAACCAGTGTCAGCTGGGTTTCTGGATTGTTTTTATGCTGTAATTCCGCATGAACCAGTGTATCGAATGAGCAGGAGGAATAATTCCAGCCATCATTGGGCTTTATCTCCTCCTCTTTGCTGTCCTCTTCCTCCTCCTATAGGTTTATTGTTCGTCCCAAACTTGAACAAGTGGCAGTGGATTTTTTTTTCATGCCGAAATTATATTTTTCTTCTTGTCACTCTCGCTGCCCAGTGTCCATTTTAAGTGTTAATAATTGATTTGGAAACAACCTAATAATGAACTGCAGATTTACAGGCCCCTTCTAAGATGGCAGTTAGTTAAGTATGGCTTTTAGTTCAATGTTCATCTAATGAATGAGCATTTCTCTAATTAAAAAGCTTTGTTAAGAAGCAGTGATAAACCAGCAGGATCTTTGTCCTCTATTTTTTTCTACCTATTCTAAATTTACTGACAGCCTTGTCGATGGATGACTTTTATGATTTTGAGTGACTTCTGAGTAAATATCAGGATTGTGCAAAATTCATAATTTAAGAATTAGTTCCCTTTAAATGAATGAATGAATTTAAATTGAATTGGCCACATCCAACAAGAAGTTGAAT